CCGCCATTTTGGAAGAAGCCCCGCCACTTTTCAAAATGGTGCAGATCGGCAGTATAGAGTCTCGGCTGGCATGCTAGGGTATTGCTGATCATTCGGAACAAACTTTGCCTGATTTTCTTGTTCCGAGTGACGAACGAGACCCTAGCATGAAAGCCAAGACCCTATACTGCCGATTTGCACCATTTTAAAAAGGGCGGGGCTTCTTCAAAGTGGGCGGAGCCTCTCACAGTGGGCGGGGCTTCACGTAGCAGTCCAAAAATGCAAAAATTTTGAAAAAATATCAAAATTCCGCAAAAAGCAAGTGGGCGTGGCCGAGGGGGGGGCCCGCAGTAGTGTCTGGCGTGATTTGGTTGATGAATTGCGCAGCCTAATAAGTGTGGTGAATTCGATTCGGAAGGTGGGTGAATTGTATTCGATTAACGTTAAGTAGATATGATATTCTTATTCAGGGGGTCGAACTAGCCTAGGAGACATGTTTTCAGCGAATTCGATGACCTAGACATTTTGGCGCCGGCGCCTGTGGCGCGGGCGCCAGGCAGTTTCATGGCAAGCGATTGTGATATTCGTTTCAAAAGGACAAGCTACCTCTAGGGATAAGTTTCCAGCGAACTTGGCTGTTCGTACAGCTTTATTATTAGAACAATATACTGGCAGACACCATTGTCTGCCATCGTCGTCAACGTGTTAATCAGAATTTCCTCACTCTGAACGTCAACTTGAGTTCGAATTTTCTTGAGCCTCTTGAGGACGTATACTTGACACGGTTGAATTTATGTAGTTCAGAATCTAGCCACAAAATAAATAAACCCTTTTATTAAGTGAATCACATGGTTGCAAATTATGCGCATACTGGTGCCGGTCCACCATAACGACCGAATCACATGAAAATGGACCCTAATTGCGATGGCTCAACAATTTCAGCCATTTCAAATTCAAATGTCCTAATCTTAGGTAATTTTAGGCCCATTCACAAAATATTTAGCAAAGAATAGAAGCACTGTATGTACAGAAAGTCAGCCATTTCAGGGTTTAACCGATGACGCTTTAGACGACGATGACGTCATTCACGCACGACGAGCCTTTTTACGGAAGTAGCAGCACACCGTGCACTGAAATCACTATAATTTACTACAGTAAAGTCGGTCTGAGGGACCGAAAGAACGATTAAAGGATAAAGGATATCTTTTGACCATCCGTTTTCCAGAGCGCGCCTTCAGAAAAGTGCTTTACCGGTTCAACTGGCTTGGAGTGGGCAGCAAAGGACACTTAGCAAGGCTAGTACAGGCCTTTTGAACACCGGTGAGGCTGCGTTACCGATGCAATGCTCACTTACACCATTTTGCAGCTCCGCAGGAATTTAACTGGTCCCAACAAGGTGAAAGCTGTCTAATTAACAGGAACTCACAAAAGGAACTAGCAGTGCTGCTAAGTGTCCCTTCCAATTCGAACAACGCCTTTTCGCCCTTATAAATATGCCTGGTACCAACTTGCTGTCCCCAAAAGTTGGGAAGGGCTGAGGTAGCGTGAATTGTTGTATTCCGAAGATATGACTCACCGCCCAGTAACAAAGGACCCTCTAGGGCCAGTGCACTGCCTTCGTACGGTTGTGATTATGAGCCTACGTCACAATTGCGGGCGGGCGGTTGCTGCCAACGTCATTGGTGGAGCCGCAGAGTGGGACGTGGCCAAACGCCCGCTACAGCGCTTCCACCAATGAAATTGGCAGCAACTCCAAGTTACCCGCTTTGAAAAAACAAACGGGAGCGAAATGGCAAAACGTTGGTTAGCTAACTATCCTCTGGTGCACCTCCTCTTCTAACGGCCGATTGAGGGAAGAGGCAGCGGGATAGGATGGGGATCTCCGCCCACTTTGTGCTCTCCGATTATAGTGGACTGTGTCTTAGACTGAAATCAACGCCTTCCTCAAAGATGCTCACCTGACTTCCGGCATTCTGCCCAACTTGGCAAACGGATTGTCCAGGGCACTGATAATTTTGATTGCAAGAGCCTATCCGTACTCCACCCGTACACGAACACTGAGCTTGTGGAGCCTGAGTGGGAACATATGGAGCGCTCGTTGGCATCGTTGGCAGAGTGGCCGGTGAACCTTGGGTATCCCAGACGCAGAGCTGAAAATTACGACCACTTTTTTATAGGATCTAAGAAAAACGAAAATGGCTGAGTACCTGAGATGGAGCGTCGAAGACAGTAGCTGGAGCACACGGCATACGTTGCCATCGTCCACAGAACAGATTATTTTGTGCTGGTTGACACTGTAGGTAGTGAGACCGTGACTGAGGATCATTCGCTAACGGGTCAACCATCCATGAACAGATGCCCTGGTAACTGTGGTTTCAATCCTCCTTGACTGAACAATGAAGTAACACTCACAAAGTTTCGAAACCAGTTGCGGCCAAAAAGTGTCTAGAGGCTTTTTTTTTCTCGCCGTAAGATATGGTCATGATCCCTGTAAACTTTAAAACGTGTGAAAGGGCGTGACTTCGATCGCACAGGGCGGCCTTCCCCGCCAGTACTTGCGGCTCCGAAAGATCCGCTCGTCGCAAGTTGATTAGGGCGGTCGTCAACGGCCGCAGCGCGTGCCAGGAACTATTTGCTTTTTCCAGGCTAATTTAGTCATTTTTTCCAACTTTTCACTGTTTTGGCTACTTTTTCCAAGATTAGCAGCTCCTTATCTTCACAAGGTGGAAAAAATGACTAAATTAGCCTGGAAAAAGCAAATAGTTCCTGGCACGCGCTGCGGCCCGTTGACGACCGCCCTAATCAACTGCCCGGATGACGAGGTTATAATTGGTTGAAAAGGCCAGCTTAGCGGCGCCCCAATCTATGCCTCTTCGCACACCTATTGTTCAGAGGGGTCGTGACTGTACCTAGGTTATTGTAACACATAAAATCTCACGAAGGCTTTACTTGTGCTTCATCCGCGAGCATCACAAATTAGCAGACTTTTCCTGACTGGTTCTTCGGCCTCAACCAGCGGTCATTGAACCCCTACGCGTGGGTGAATTGTCGATAAACATTGAAATTTTTGGCGCAGATCAGTTGGTTGGGGCAATCAATGGTATTAAGCGGGCTTACTTAGGCCATCTTATTGAAGTCGCTGTAAAACACTGTGAGGAAGCGATTGCTCGCCTAACATCCTTCAGCAGCCTCACAGGAGTTCACAGATATGATCAAGATAAGTCCTGTCACTCAACATGAACCATCAAATGTGGATAGCAGAAGAGCGAAATGCCCCTCCCAAACCGAACAGCGTGTGAATTTGTGAACCTCCTTGACTAATCAGGCAAGAATCTATGCAAAAAACCGTAAGTGTCCTCTAGCCTTTATTTTCCGGTTTCTTCAGTGTGTACGCATGCGGTGAAGAAACATTGAGCATTCGAAGGAGAGTCGAGACAACAAAGCGAGAAGACAACACACACAAGCAAGACCACTGACGCAATAGAGTCTTCGCGGCAGAACTTTTATTCGCGTAATCCACTGCTAACTGGCGGGCAGTGAAGCCGTAAGTGCAAATGTCTGTCTGCTTGCAGCTCCGAGTGGAGGATGTGGAGCAACTTGTGTTGCTGCAGACCTGCCTTGACTGAGCATGATGCGGCCTGTCGAGGGGGACGAGTCTGAAGGGGGGGGGGAGGGCGAGAAGCCAGATTCTTTTTCTCTTTTTCTCTTGAAGCAAGCGGCAATACTGTATCATATAGTTCGTATCAGTCGTTTTTCACCAGATTTTGTCGCTTACTCGGTTCAATAACCGGCCAAAGAACGGGCTGGCGGCGAGCCAAACCTCGCCTTGACGCGCCTAGACGAGAGCAATCCTGACATCATTAATCATTTCTAAGCTTTAAGATTAGTGGTACACTCCACTGGTCGTATAGGCAGAGCGGACGTCGCTGCCCGCTTGCGTTGCCTCATGAGCGCCTCCTCGTCTCTAACTCGTTTCTATCTTGCTCCTCAAAAAGCAAGGAAATGTCGAGAAAGCCTAATGGTAGATGGTAGCGGAGCCTATACTCAAGCCGTGGAATGTGCCTTCCGAATCATGATAGCTTTCCATGTGCTTTCATATGCCATGTTAGAAGATAAGTCAAGCAAAACCACTGCTACCTACTCGTACCTTTCCGCCCTAATTACTGAGTTTTTACAATATATTTCTCTGATCTGACTAAATACATGAATATACTTACAGAACCGATTAAGCTTACCAAGAGGACAGGACTGAGGCTGTACGATGGGTGGCTGTTGCTGTGGACAATACTGCTGTTGAGTAGTTGTTGTTTGGCAGTTCTGAAAAATAGGGTATGCAAAAAGAGTTCAACAGCAGGGTAAAATTAATATTCTATCCCTTTTCCACCTTTCTTTTCCACATTGCCG